ACATGATTCTTACAAGTAGTCCCCATATATATTTTTGTTCCCACCTATATTTTGATGACTTTCTGACAGAACGAGGTACATGAGAACTTTGCATCATGTTGTGTGGCATGGCACCATGTGCACACACCTTCACTGCACCACGAAAGTGCACACTGCTGCTCTAGCTTCTGATTTCACAACTTTTAGTTCTTCTCACGGGTGTATTATTAGCATCTATTTTGTCAAACCATGTATGAAACTTCCCATTGAAGTCATTGGAGTGTTCTGTGAAAATACAAAACAGCATAAGGAAAAGCATATGGTTCATGTGAATATTTTCATAATTCTTTCCCAGAGGAAGAAATTAACAGTTGGTGTTTGAATAGATACACATATATAATAAAAGATCTTTAAAATATATTGTATTTTTAAGCCACATTTCTCTGCTACGCTTCCTTAGGCTCGATGAACTGCAGACATTTCTCCTGCAGAAAAACAAGTTGACTTATCTTCCACGAGCTTTGCTCAATATGCCAAAACTCAGCTTGCTGGTGGTTAGTGGTGATGATCTGGTCGAGATACCCACAGACGTTTGTGAATCACCCACAGGTTTAAAGTAAGTTATAGTTAGGGAGAAATGAATATGCTCAAAAGTAGAAAGGTAAGTGACCCAGTGCAGTAATGGTCCTCAAAAACAGTTTTACAATTCTCTTTTCCTTTCCTTTTATTGGATTCTGCATTCATGCTTGCTGGGCTGGGTATGTTGTTACCTGAGCAACTTCCACCAAACCTGGGGCAAAATTCTGACCTCATTTACATGAGAACCACTCTTTAAGGGCAATGAAATCACTGAAGTCCAGTGGTGAATTATACAAGTATACCTCAGGGTTCCTGATATTTCACCTGCTACCAAGGAGTGCTTTTGTACTTTTACTGAGACTTTATTGCCTCTCAACATTCAGTGTTTGTGTCAGTTTAATAATGTGTATATTCTTGGTTTAGAGACTATATCCTATAGATGCAGATTGATGGACTCATAAATCTTTCCCATTTGTAACTATGATAATCCCATGTCTTGATTTGACACTCAGGATTTAGGACCTGAAATCATTTGAATATGACAGAGCAGTTCCTGGTAGTGTTACTATGCTATATGATTAATTGGAGTGATATTTTTTCTTTTTGATAGTTGAAATTTCACTGATTAATTTCTTTTTGTTGCTTTAAAGATATGTTCCCATAATTTTCAGAATGATGTACACATACTTTGTGCATGGAATTACTGAGCAGTTTGTGCAACCATGTGATTTTCATTTTCAAAGTATTGGTTTAGTATATTTACAAACATGACAAAAAGGGGATGCAGACTGAACTTCTCTGTTTTAATGGATGTTGGGAAGTAACTGTAACTCCCAAGGGTGTGCATCATCAACTAAGGAATTCTGACTAAATCCTGGAATGCTGTGAAACCTGGATACGATGGGGTCTATGTTGAAGTTTTTTGTTCTGATCAGGAGTTGCTGTAGAATTATGGTACAGCTGGTTAGATGTTGTGAAGTGTGATATGTACAGATGCCCCCAAATGCTAAAACTCTGTTCCTACAGAAAAAAATATTTCAGTACATCCATACTGCATTGTATTAGGGAGACCAGAGTGTAAAGACAGTGCTACCTAAAATATCTGTGATTCTGTGATTTACTTGCTCCATAATAGAAAGACCATAAAACACTTTTGTTCAATTACTTAAGCATAGTGATTCTTCACAACTCCCCCTCTGCCTGCGAGTTGCCACTTTTAAGTAATGTTGACTGGCTTATAAAACTGACAGGCCTGTTGGTCACATGCATGGACTATGTGTGAGATACACCCAAACAAGACAAGTTAGTAAATGTAATTCATAGAGCTAATCAATTCAAACTGTTTGTAATTTCAGAAGAGGGATTTATTTTTAATATAATCAATATTTGACATATAGCAAACTACATTTGGCTGTTCATGTTAAGAAGTTATCCTTTCATGTTAATATTTCTTTTTCTACAGATTTATAAGCCTTAAGGATAATCCTCTTGAAACATTCTTGTATCACGATACTGAAGACATCGTAGAAAGTGAACGTGATCGAGAGCAATTTGAGAAAGCATTTATGAAAGCCTACATTGCAGACATAAAAGAAAGAGGTATATGCACTAAATTTTTAGTACATCTCCCATTATTTCTGATATAAATGTAGATTTCATAAAGATTTCCTGGCCACATCAAAATAATATGCTTGGGTTATACAGAGAGATCAACAATATCCTGAATCTTTATAAAAAGTGAAGACAAGTGTAAGAGCACAATCGTATGTAAGAGCACATGAAACAAGCAATTTTAAAAGCTGTAAAAGTTCTATATGCTATTGGAGGAGGGTGAAAGTTCTTTGTCTTTTTTTCAAAATAAGATGAGCTTTCAGATATGTTTTGATGAGAGATGCCAGAATCTGAGCCCTGGATCTGAACAAACATATACAAACTTTGTGGAGGGGTCAAAATTCGTTATGGTTAGGGCCCTACCAAATTCATGGTCCATTTTGGTGATAGGATTTTAAAAATCGTAAATTTCATGATTTCAGCTACTTAAATTTGAAATTTCACAGTGTTGTAATTGTAGGGGTCCTGACTCATAAAGGAGTTGTGTGGGGGTCGCAAGGTTATTGTAGGGCAGGGGTTGCAGTACTGCTACATTTACTTCTGTGCTGCTGCTGGCAGCAGCGCTGCCTTCAGAGCTGGGCATCTGGAAAGTGGCAGCTGCTGGCTGGGAGCTCAGCTCTGAAGGTAGAGCCACTGCCAGCAGCAGCGCAGAAGTAAGGATGGGATGGTATGATATTGCCACCCTGTAAAGATGTGCCCTCAATCAGCGACCACCACTCTCCGGCCGCCCAGCTCTGAAGATAGCAGCGCAGAAGTAAGGGTGGCATGGTATGGTATTGCACTGCCTTCAGAGCTGGTGCCTGGCTAACAGCTGCTGTTCTCCAGCCGCCCAGATCTGAAAGCAGCGCAGAAGTAAGGGTGGGAATACCATAACCCCCCCTAAAATAACCTTGTGATTCCCCCCTGCAACTCCCTTTTGGGTCAGGAACCCCAATTTGAGAAACGCTGGTCTCCCCTGTGAAATCTGTATAGTATAGGTTAAAAGCACAAAAAAGACCAGATTTCATGGGGGGAGACCAGATTTCATGGTCTGTGATGCATTTTTCATGGTCATGAATTTGGTAGGGCCCTAATTATGGTTATTATTATGCCAAGAGGCCCTGATTAGAGAACAGGCCCACACTGAACTTGGAATTATACTCTAGAGCTGGGTCACCCCCTCTGCTCCCTTAGTAGTACCACCATGGAGGGAAAATAAACAAAAAATGTCAGATCAGAATTTGACCTTAAAGGTCTTGAAGATGTGTACAAAGCAAGTGTGTCGTGATGGTGTTCTATTTGCATGACTGGTGGGGATGTCATATGTGAGGAAGTCCATTCATTTGTGGTGTTCCTGTGTTATTTGGTTTGATCTGGGATAATTGACAGATTTTTTTTTAATGAATGTAGTCTTTAAAAATTGTCCTGGGAGCCCGGGGCATTGGATATATACTCATTTATTTTGGTGCACATTTAAATAAATTAGTATTATTATTAATAAAAACACTATGGTGTTTTGTTGGTTTTTTTGGTAAAAGTGAACTGCAAATCAATAAATATATATTTAAAAATTGTTTCTACCCATAAGTGCTAATCCTATGAAGTCAGACAGGCACAAAATATATTAACCTTTGCAGATGCACAGTTTCAATTTTAAGGCCAGTTATGATAATCTAGATTGATATTCTGCGTAACGCAGACCAGTAGAAGCTGAAATTTTAAATAGTATATTTTTTCTCCTTTTACAGAAACTATGCCTTGCTATACGACAAAGGTATCACTTAGTCTCCAGCTCTGAAGATCAGAAATCTCTAAGACACTGAGGGATACCAGAAAAACTCTATTTTTGTCTATGTGAATGGAGAACATTGATATCATGGAGAGTCATAAGCAGCTCTTAAATAATGATCACAGAATTTCTTATTTGTTACCATACTTGCTTTCAACAACTACAGACAAAATTGCAAGGACTAAATAGTTTTCATCAGATGAAATTTCACTTTTGAAATTAACATATTTATTTTCAAGTCAACAGCAACAAGCACTAAATTATACACGGCTAAGGCCCTCATCGTGCAAACACTTATACATGTGCTGTACTTCATGACTGTGAATAGTACTATTGCAATCAATGGGGTTACAGTAGTAAAGTTAAGCAGATATGAGTTTGCAGGATAGGGGTCTTAAACAGTATCTGGTTTATATTATGTTGCGGTTCAGCTGAAAAAAGATTTGTTCCTGTGCAAACAGTGGAAGTGTTAATGCTTTAGAAAATGCATGTGATCTATTATATTTTAAAGACCAAATGACTAATTCAATTGTTTGCAATAGTTCTTAATGGTAGGTTTAAATACATTGTTTACGGGTGATGTTTTTACTTTCTGCTGTTCACAAAGGTCCTTCTCTGGTTTTTCAGTTTAAATAAATTCCAGCAAGTAGACACTCAGTATGGAGTCGTTTAAAATACTGTTGCTTTTTTCAATTATATTACAAGCATTGAAATGATCACAAATATTAGTACACAGGTGACTGGAATTTTTGTGGTAAGCAATTTTTAAATAATAGTTTGGCAATGGCTTAATAGGACTTTAAAGAAAAATAATCTCTGCGACGAAGTTTGAATGAATAAAACATCATGAAAATATTTAAAAACCAAGCACTTTGACTAATATTGATAGTTCTGAATTACAGTATTTTTGTTGGTATAACAATGAATTTTTTTTATGTAATGCAAATGCCTTAGTTCTATAAGTATGCTGGTTATGATATTTGTTTTGCTTGTTTTGTAATCTGTTATACATAATTCTGTAAGTGTACATACTGTAGAATGATTTAGTTTTGCATATGAATAATTTTCATTTATTAAATCAACTTTTAATCTAAAAATACTAATTGAAACTTGAAGCCATTTAATTAAAGTCATCCTAAACTGTGTAAGTGTGAATGTGGGAGAAACATGTAATAAAGAGTAGTAACATCATGAGGATGACATATTACAGAAGAGTGATAGTTCTGTTACAGCCGGTGAGATAAAGACCAGTTTCTGGTTAAAGTTCACCAATACTATATGGTGAGCAAAGAAGAGTATCAGAAATATTACTTAGGCCTGGGTTACACCAGCAGGGTGGTTCAAACTAAGATACGCAACTTCAGCTATGCTATTTGCGTAGCTGAAGTTGAAGTATCTTAGTTCGACTTACCTGGCTGTCCTCACGGCGGCGAGTTGACTGCCGCAGCTCCCCGGTCGATGCCACTTACTCCTCCTGCCGAGGTGGAGTACGGGCGTCGATTCGTGGATCGATTTATCGTGTCCAGACAAGACGTGATAAATCGATCCCAGTTACATCGAACTCTACCTGCCGATCTGGTGGGTAGTACAGACGTACCCTCAAAGAGGTAACTAAAATAATTTTTTTATTGCATTTATAAGAACAATTTTGAAAATATGATTTTACAATATTAAATTATTTTTCTACATTTGTTATACTGGTAAAGATAAGGTAAGATTCATTGGCCCCCAAATATTATGTAAAATACCTCAGATCAATAATATGGTGTGAAAATAATACAACTTATTAAACTCTAAGACCCTGATCCTGTAAACACTTACCGACATGCTCAACATTAACCATATTAATAGTCCTATGAATACTCATTTGCATCACACATGGGTACCATAGATCATACCACTAAAATGATATAAGGGATATAGAAGTTACTGCATGACATTAGAAAGGGAGAAAAGGCGGATTGTATTTAATTAATACTTTATGGCATGAAAAATCATATAATATATCAATATTATTTTAGTTTCTCTCCTTTATTTACTGATTTCGTGTAAACAACAATTGTAGAATGCCAGTTTTCAGCAAATACATATTTTTTGTTGCTTATACCCTTATGGCTTTTGCTAAAAAGAATATTTTAAATAAATTTATTTTCAGGTTTAAAGACTCAGATAATACAATTATCCTCTTACATGTTGTTATAAAGTACAGTAAATAAAATCATATATGGGATGTACTAATAAAACTGGGATCACCTTGCTGATCTTATAACAAATGCTAGGTAACAGGACCTTAGAGGTTTTATATATTTATTCATTTTATGAAGACTTAAAAAATTTACCAAACACCATCTGGATTGAGAGACTAAACCTATTAGATTTGGGCTAGATCCATTGGTAACACACAAGTCAGGTGCACTATTCCCCAGCTATCAGCTATTGGTAATGGGAAAAGTACTGGGATTTTGGTCCCCTCTTGGGTCCTGTATCTATCACATCAGCAGTGGATAGCAAGTGTTTTATAAAGGTGAAGTTCCACCCTTTCTAGCTGCTAGGAGTTTTCTGTCTTTTTTTGACTCATCCAGTGCTTCCTGACTGCTGTGAGAGGTGAGAGATGTATTGCTATTCTACTCCCCTGGACTGTCTATTTTTTAGGTCTTCCTCCAAGCTAGTGACTAACTCCTATGCCTGCCTCTGCTACTGTTTACAGCTTTTCCAAGTAGCAATAATAAAGTTAAACTGTCCCAATTCTTGGCAGCTGAGACTCCCATGGTTGCTTGTAGTATCAAGGGTACAGGGCCGGCTTTAGGCCAAATCCTCCGATTCCCCCGAATCGGGCCCCGCAGGTAAGAGGGCCCCGCGCCCGTGCCTAAGAGCCCCCTGTGCCTTAGGCTCACCCGGCGGCGGTCTGCTCCGGCGGCATTTCGGCAGTGGAAGCGGGGGTTCGCTCCAGGGTCTTCGGTGGCATTTCGGCGGTGGGGGGGGTCTTTCAGTGCCGCGGAACATGTGGAGTGGACCCCCTGCCACCGAAGTGCCGCCGAAGACCTGGAATCGGGCCCCGCATGTCCAAAAGCTGGCCTGCAAGGGTATATTTTTTACATTCTTCGGGAAGTGTGTAGAGCTGACCTACATGTCAAATATATATTTTTGTGCTGCCACTATTCCAGTTTACAAAACGGTCTGGATTTTTTGGTGCAAGCAAAGTGACTACACTTGTTCTTTATGTATTTGGTGTAGCGCTCATGTTCTGAGATGCATAAGGGTCTGGAAATGCAGTCAGTCATTCTCTATACTCATGTTGCAATTGGGGCCAAAATTAGACAGGATTCTGCTTTTATCTTAGAGTTACTCTAGATTTATCCCAGTGTAGTTGTGGGCAGCATTCACTGTTGCTAGCTCATAATTAATTCTGAGAGTCTTTCACAGAAGTCACGGATTCTGTGACTTTCCGAGCCCTCCATGACTTCTGCAGCTGCAACAGCTGTCCACAGGGCCTTACTCATACTACTTGGCATTTTTCCTTGAAGGATTCTGATTATTAGCCATCTTTTGGCTCCCAGAAAAACTCTTATCCCCTCTGATTCTTATCCAAGAGTTGTCCATAAGTGAAAGACAAGGTGGATGAGGTAGTAGTGACCTGTTTCTGTTGGTGAAAGAGAGACATGCTTTCCATATCCTTGGACCAACACGGCTACAACAACAATGCCTAAAACAAGTGAAAGGCAGGCTTGTAGGGCTTCAATCAAGGAAGAAAGTGCTGGGATGTGCCTTCAGTGGATGCAGACTACAAACCTGCCTGTGACCCATGCTCCCCACAAATGGTATGTGACTGGGGCACCCACATTACCACACAATGGGGGAGACTCTGCCAGAGTCCCGGGGCTGCGGGCTGGGAAGGGTGGATGTGGTCAGGGCAACAGTGGGCTGAGGGGCTGCAGCCCTGATTCGGGGCTTTCCCCAGGGACCGTGAGTGCTGGAGGCCTATGGAGAGGGATGGTACCTCTCCCTGTGGTCTACAGACCGTGCCCTTCCCTGACATTTGGCGTCGGCATTCCTAACACTTCCCTCCCTGCCAACCTGCCTGCAGCCAGAGCCTTTCTTTCAAAAAAGTTGTTCCTAAGCAGGAAGTAGCATGCCTGTTGCTAACATCCGAATCCCATTCACACTCAAGTCAATGGGATGGGATCAGTTCCGGGCATAATGTTGCTATTAAGCGAACGTTAATATGGGCATTGCTAGGAAGTGGCATCTCCCTAATGACGTGAGAACCTCGCTTTTCATTTTCAATCGTTCCTAACCCTCCCGCCTGCAGAGACACGCTGGACTTTCTCGCCCTAGGTTATCCTGCAGGCGCGGGAACCAAAAGTCCCCGCTGGCAATGCTGGAGCTGCTCTTTGGCTGCGTGTTTCTTCCCGAGCTCCGCTTGCTGCCAAGGCAGATCCAGGGATTAACAACACACCGGGCACCGCAAGGGCTCCTGCGGCCTTAGGCAACCCCACTGCCCAGGTGTAGAGCAACGAGGGCGCGTCCCCCTTCTGCGGCTCCGCCCGGCGCGGTCTCCCCAGCGGCGGGAAGCCGGCGCCAAAGCCCCGGGGAGCCGCCCGACGGGTGGGAGGGGGAAGCGAGCACAGCAGGGGAATCCCCGCGCGGCCGCAGGTGCAGGCAGGGAGCTAATGCGCCCAGCGCAGGCGGCGACGGCAGCGCTAGGGCTATGTAGGGGCGCGGGGATGCGCGGGCTCCCGGCAGCATGGCAGAGCAGCTCTTCTGTAAGGGGGTGTCCGCGGTGATCAGCAGCGCGGGCTGCGAGGAGAGGTGAGTGCCGCCGGGAGCTGGGGGAGGGTCCGCTCCGGGAGAGAGCCGGGCTGGGCTCGCGGGGGTAAGCAGAGCCTACAAAGTGAAGCTAGGTGCGAAGGCTGGTTCCGCGCTGCGAAAGGAGGGGTCTGGAGGAAGTACCCCCAAGCTTCTTGCATTTTGTTTTCAGAAATGTTGGGCTAGGCAGTATTGTTAATTGAGATCACTAGCCCCAGCTGCGTGGTAGCAGCCGCAGCCTCACCCAAACTGACAAACTCAGAACACTTTACTTGTAGCATTAAAAAATACTCCTGCCTTCCTCTTCTAATAACCCCCTTACTTTATAAATATATTCGCACAAGATATTGATGCCTTAAAGCCTTGTCACAAACACATTCAATAGTTCAGAGCTGTCAACTGTAAACATTCAGTACTCATGAGTTTGGGTTAAACATGATTTTGTTCTTAAATGGTAAATGTTGCATTCTTTTTATCTGCTTTTTGTGTTTTTGAGCCTGTGGGGGAGTCCCATTTTCAAGTTTTCCCCACAACCAGGAGGGCTAGAAACTTTTATTTTTTTTAAATAAGTTGAGATTTTCATCTAACCGCATGATTCCAGGAGTGGGGGCTTTAAGAAACACCAAATATTATGAGACTCATGAAAATATTGTGAGAATTATCAATGTTGCAAATTGTTAGGCAGTGACATAAAATGGTCTCACAGAAGTGCAAGGTAAGTCATAAACATGCTTTGTAACATTCTAAAGGAAAATCTTGAATAATCGTAGTTTGAGGAGCAGTATGTATGCTATATTGCAGGGGTCGGCAACCTTTCAGAAGTGGTGTGCCGAGTCTTCATTTATTCACTCTAATTTAAGGTTTCGTGTGCTAGTAATACATTTTAACGTTTTTAGAAAGTCTCTTTCTATAAGTCTATAATATATAACTAAACTATTGTTGTATGTAAAGTAAATAAGGTTTTTAAAATGTTTAAGAAACTTCATTTAAAATTAAATTAAAATGCAGAGCCCCTGGACCGGTGGCCAGGATCCGGGCAGTGTGAGTGCCACTGAAAATCAGCTCGCGTGCCGCCTTGGGCACGCGTGCCATAGGTTGCCTACCCCTGCTATGTTGTCTTTCTCTCATATATCACACACTATCTTTCTTCTCCCTTCCCATTATTTCTACAACCTCCTGCCTTCCTAAATATCAAAACTACTTACAAAAATCTAAAAGTCATATTAGTATCATTTTTTTTATATCCAGTAGTTCTACTACCTTAATTCTTTCCTACAAATTAAACTATAAAACTTTAAATTTAATGTGTAGTCAGCTGTTTAGTTATCTGGTGTTAAGAACTCACTGTTATGCTGGGATAGACCTTGAAGCAGTTGATGTGATCAGTACTTTGCACATTACATGCAGACAGGGCTGGACCCTAGATCAAATAGCACACCAGGTAGGAGCATCTTCGGCACCCTCCCCTCCATTAGTAAATGTCTGAATACCTTATTTTTATTGCATTTGTAGCCCATTTCATGACTCTGATGCATGATTTATCTCTGTCATATAAGAAAATAAATTTGCACATTAGAATCTGTAAATCTGTGTTTATTCATGCCATATATAAGCAAATAAAAAAGTAGTTTCCTCTAGGCTTATAGAAACTTTTTAATTTTAAGAATAACTGAAATGTACTAATATCAAGAAATTGAACTGTGTATCAACATTGGGTGGACCAGTAGTAAATAGTGTTACAGTAAGTGACCGCCTTCGAATGTTAACCATAGTCCTTTAGTTCAAAGGTCGCTTTTTTCGCCTTTGCCCTTCTGAACTGAAGCACAGCGTCAGAGAGATCCAAAGACTGGTCAATGGCATTTCCAAGAGATAAAATAGTAAGCTATATCAATCTCTCATCGGGCATTGTCGATCGAAGATATGTTTTAATGAGCTTCAGCTTTGAAAAGCTTCTCTCACTACTTGACTGACCGGCAGCATGAACAGAATCCTCAAAGCTATCCACACATTAGGAAAAGCATCCTTCAGCTCTGCGTCATGAATGAATTGGAGAACTTGGAGTGGAGAGTGCTTACTTAGGTCATACAATCCCGCCTCTCCTTCCCCCCCACCCCCAGGTCTTTTTGTGGTGCTTCATTTGTTCGAACCTTTCTTAGATGGACAATCGAGCAGGGTCAATGAGCAAGCAAAAAAACTCCATCTTTAATTTTTCTTCCACGCTTCCCATCACCTCATCTCTGCCCTTGCAATCAAACTCTCTCTTCTTCCAATGAATGAGTTTCCTTGAAGACAGGCTCAACTCCTAAGTTTTCTGCCATTTCTTTGGCAGCAGGTGCTGGATCTTCAAAACTGTTGTCTCTGGAGGCCATAACGAAATCAAGGCAGCTTCTCATCAAAAGTGGTAGCAGTCGCGATGTCCATCGACTGAGTTTGTAATGCCTTGCTTATAACATTTACTTGGAACAGCATATCATGCCAAACCACAATTGAGATCAGAAATTTTAAAGTTAGTTCAAAATTGTACAATCAATATCAGCAGAGTTTTATCTACGTCCATAAAGCAGGATCTGATGTATCGATTTGTGGCATGCAATTTTTCTCACTGCTGTTTCTGTGATCATGCAAGGCTGATTCTTCTCTATTGCTTCTCTTTTTCATGTAAACCAGATTTTTCTTTGTCATTGCCCTCCTTTTCACGTGAGCCACATTCTTCATCATCACTCTCTTTTACGCTGCTAGGAAAACTGGATGATTCTCCATCACTTTCCTGACATTTCCATTCCTTATCTTTAGGTAAATCTGCTAATTACTTAATAATAGGACATCTATCATTTACGCTTTGCTCCTCAATTTCTTCTGCACTGGGACAATCGCTACCGTCTTAAGCCCAGTATATGTTGTTCTGTTCAAGATATTTTCCCATCAATTTGCCCCTTGCTGCAAACTAGATAGCAATGGAGCTTTTCGCGTCACAAACTGAGCTCCTGAAGTCTTCTTTGCAAGATGCCCCCAAAGGTGTCCTGGGAACCTTATTTTCCACATATAGCCGAGTTGTGTCTATTAAGTTTCAGCTAAAGGATGGCATCTGCAGCACCCAATGCCCCCTAGGACCCTGTTGGGTGCTGTTTCAGTGTTTAAATCAGATGGAGGAGTGCATAGGTGTCGACTTCCCTTCTGCCCAGTGGGTGCTCGACTCTCTTCCCCCCCCCCCAGCCTGCCCCTGCACTGCCCGTGCTCCACCCCCTTCCCCAAAGTCCCCACCCCAGCCCTTCACCCATTCCAGCCCCTTCCCCCAAGCCCCCGCCCCTGCCCTGCCTCTTCTCCACTTCCTCCCCTGAACACGCCGCATCTCCACTCCTCCCCCTCCTTCCCGGAAAGTCCTAAGCGCTGCCAAACAGCTGTTAGGCGGTGTGTGTGTAGGGGGAAATGGGAAGCGCCGGGAGGGAGGGGGAGGAGCAGGGACGTGGCGGACTCGGGAGAAGGTGGGGGGGAGAAGGAGGCGAGGAGGGGGAAGTTTGGCTGCCGGTGGGTGTGGAGCACCTGCTAATTTTTCCATGTGGGTACTCCAGCCCCAGAGCACCCATGGAGTCAGCACCTATGGAGGAGTGTCACCTTCTGAGTGCCCAACTCTGGGTCTCTCAAGATTTAATTATTCCATGTAAGTATCTCATCTGAATGCAGACCTAGCTTGGGAGAACTGAGTAAATATTCCTACGTGCTGAGATGGACCTGGAGTGAAATCACATATTCAGTCACAAATGTCAATTATCTTAACTTCTTCCTGGTCTCCATTTGCGCAGATTACAAACCCACTACATAAATCAGTATGACTTGCACACTGCTAAAGAGCAACCTTGAAGAGTTGGAAGGAGAAAGTGAGAAATGTAAAAATCGTACTCTAGGCATGACATTCCTCTTGTCTCCTCTGTTAGTTGTTTTCCTGGCTATATTACTTTGTTTTGTATTTGCCAACTGCAGTAGTGTCATAGTATTGTTTTACAAACTTCAGGATTTCTTTGATAAATATCACAGAATGATGTGGCAAGGTAATGCTGTGACCAGATTGTTGCTGTAGCTGGGTCATAATGCATCTTGTAGGAATGTTTCAGGACTGCAGTGCATGACTCAAATCAGGATTATTTGTTGGAAGCACTTGAATGGCAAATTTAGCACAGTCTCTGCTCCCCTCCCATGAATTCAGGAAGAGCGCTCTGGTGGGAATTTCAGGACCTCACTGAAGCATCATCTTTGCTATCATCCTGGCCTCAGAAGGTGTATGGTAAATGTTTAGAACTCTATACATGAGAGAGAGAGAGAGTCCCATGAGGAGAATTAACAGGTCAGCAAGAGCTACTAGGGAAGGTGGTACACTTGGGTATGTCTACACTGGAATAAAACCATGGCTGGCCCATGTAGTTGACACAAGGTCACGGGCCTCAGGCTGTGGGGCTATAAAATTGCAGTGTATATGTTTGGGCTCCCTTGGGGTACCAGAGCCTGAACATCTACACTGCAATTTCATAGCCCCATAGCTGGAGCCCTGCAAGCCTGACTCAGCTGACATGAGCCAGCCGTGAGTGTTTTATTGCAGTGTAGACATATCCTTGGATGTTACAGTCCAAGCAGACTGAAAGCTATAAGAAAATATCATACACAGTGTTCGTGTTGGCTTTAAAAAAACCAAACAGATTTTCTTGGATATGACTAAAATTACAGCACTACTGTCAGATTGATAAGCAAAATCACTCTAGGGAGGGAAAGTATAATGTAGAAAGGAATCGTTTAGGGCACTAATTGGATATCTTAAAATATTAGAAATAGGATATGCAGGCATTCTAGGCTGTCAGTTTGAACCCTGCTCAGATAGCTATTTGGTCTGTAAGAAGTGAGTTGAGTGATGAGTTGTCCACATGAAATCCACAACCATAAATGCCATTGGTGGCTTTGTTGGTAACCTTGGAATAGAAGCCAAGCATGGAAGGCACATGGTTGAGTCACATCAG